GAAGGCAGAAATAAATATCAATGAAATAACAGTAGGGAACTTTAGTATCCTACTTTAAACAATAGATCTGTCATCCAGACAAAATCAATAAGAAAATATTGGAGGTGAACTATACTTTAGAGAACGTGGATCTAACAGACATACACAGAACATTCTGCTCAACAGCAGCAGAATACACATTTTTCTCAAGCATGCACAAAACATCCCCAAGATAGATCATAGGATACAAAACAAGTTATAACAAATATCTTTTCTAACTATGATATTATGAAACTAGAAATCAATAGTAGGAAGAAAGCTGAAAATTAAACAATATGTAGAACTTACACAGCATACTCCCAAACAACTAGTGTGTCATGGAAGAAATCAAAAGGGAAATCAAAAAATATCTTGAGACAAACAAAAATGGAAACAGAACATCCCAAAATTTATGAAATGCAGCAAAAACACTTCTTAGATGATGTTTATAAATGAAATTCCTACATTAAAAAGATAAATCTCATATAAGCAACTTAACTTTGCACTTCAAGGAACTAGAAAAAGAACAATAACAACAAAAAAGCCTGAAGTTAGCAGCAGGACTGAAACAAAAAAGATCAGAGCAGAAATGAAATAGAGACTAGAAAAACAATAGAAAAGATTAATGAAACTGAGAACTGTTGTTTTTCTTTTGAAAAGATACAACTGACAAACCTTTGGCTAGATTAACTAAGAAGAAAGAGAGAAGAGTCAAAATCAGAACTAAAGCAGAAGACCTCACAACAAATGCCACAGAAATAAAAAGGAACATAAGAGACTGCTATGAACAATTATATGCCTACTAATTGGACAGCTTAGAAGAAACTGAGAAATTCCTAGAAACATTGAATCATCAGAAAATTAAAAATTTGAATAGATCTACAACTAGAAAGAAGATTGAATCAATAATCAGAAACTTCCCAACAAAGAAAACCCAGGACCAGATGGCTTTACTGTTGAATTGTAGTAAGCATTGAAAGGAGAATTAATGTCAGTCCTTCTCAAAGTCTTCCAAAAAAGTTAAAATGTGTTTTGTGAGGCCAGCATTTCCCTTATATGACAGAAGACAAGAATAATACAAGAAAAGAAAGTTACAGGCCAATATTTCTGATGAACCTAGGTGTAAAAAATCTTTGATGAAAGATTAACAAACAGAATTCTGCATTTTATTAAAAGAATCATTAAAAGAATCATATGAGCAAATGTAATTTATCCCTGAGGTGCAAGAATGGTTAAAAATATGCAAATCAATAAATTTGATATACCAAATTAACAGACTAAAAGGTAAAAATTATACGATCGTCTCAATAGGTACAGAAAAAAACATGACAAAATTCAACATCCTTCATGATAAAACCTTTCAACAAATTAAATAGAAAAGAAATGTAGCTTAACATAATAAATGCCAGCTATGACAAGCCCAAAGCTCATATCATACTTAATGATGAAGAGCTAAAAGCTTTTCCTGTGAGATCTGGAACAAGACAAAGATACTTACTTCATCAAGGTATTACCAGAAGTTCTACCAGAACAATTAGGCAAGAAAAAGAAATAAAAGTGATTCATATTCGAAAGGAAGAAGTAAAATCGTCTGTGTTTGCATATGACATAATCTTTATACAGAAAATTTTAAGGCTTTCACTAAAAAACTATTAGAACAAATAAACAAATTTTATAAAGTTGCAGGATACAAAACTGATATAAAAATTAGTTGTGTTTTTACACACAACAAATTATATTTTAAAAAATTTAAAAACAATCCCTTTTACCATAACACTAAAAAGAAATACTTAATATGTGTGATACCAAAGCAAACACACAATAAAATACTTAGGAATAAACTTAACTAAGAAAATGAAAGGCTTGTACACTGAAAACTATAAACATTGATGAAAAAAATTGAAAAGATACAAATAAATGGGGGGAAAAAATCTCATGTTCTTGGATTAGAAGAATTAATATTGTTAAAATGTCCATACTGTTCAAAATGATTACAGAATTAGTGAAATTCCTATCAAAATTCCAATGATATTTTTCACAAAAATAGAACAAATATCCTAAAAATTGTATTCAACTACAAAAGACCCTGAATAACCAAAGCAATCTTCAGTATGAAGAACATAGGTGTGGGCACTAAACTTCTTGATTTCAAACTATTACAAGACTATAGTAATCAAAACATTGTAGTATTGGCATAAAAACAGATCAATGATCTGTTCAACTGAAAATGATCAGTGAAACATCTAAAAATCAAAAATAGATCAATGAAACAGAATAGAGAATCCAGAAATGAACCCATGTAGTATGGTCAATTAATTTTTGACAAAGGATCCAAGAACACACAACTGGTAAAGAATAGTCTCTCCAATAAATGTTGTTGGGAAAATTGGATATTCACATGCAGAACATGATATTAGACTCCTACCTTACTTCTCTCTCTCTCTCTCTCTCTCACACACACACGCACGTGCACACACATACATGCACAACCAAGATTTAAATATAAAATCTGAAACTGAAATATTTCTAGAGAAAAAAAAAAGGCTACTTCTTGACATTGATATTCACAATATTTTTTTGGATATGACAACAAAAACAAAGATAAACAAGTGGGACTACACTAAAGTAAAAGCTTCTGTACAGCAAAGGAAATAATCAACAAAGTGAAAAGGCAACCTATAAAATGAGAGAATATATTTATACATATATTTGATAATGGCTTAACATGTAAAATATATAAGGAACTCATACAATTCAACAGCAAAAAAAAAAAATCACAAATAGTCCAACGGAAAATAGGAAAAGGACTTGAGTAGACATTTCTCCAAAGAAGATATACAATTAATCAACAGATACATGAAACATTACTAATCACTAGAGAATACAAAACAAAACCACAAGATGTTACCTCACACCCATTAGGCTGTCTATTATCAAAAAGCAGGAGATAACAAGTGCCAGTGAGAATGTGAAGAAGAGAAAACCTGTGTGCACTATTGTTAGGAATGTAAACTGGTATAGCCATTAAGAAAAACAATATGGAGGTTCCTCAAAAAATTAAAAATAGAACTATACGTTCCAGAAATACCATTTCTGGGTATATATCCAGAGGAAATGAAATAAGTATCTAGGAGAGACAGCTGCACTCCCATGTTCATTGCAGCATTCTCAATAGCCAAAATATGAAAACAACTTAAGTGTTCAAAGATAGATGAATGGATAAAGAAAAGTGATATATATGTATGAAGAAATGTTATTCAGCCTTAAAAAAAAGAAAAAAAAAAGGCCATACTATTTGCAACAACGAAGGTGGACTTTGAGGATACTGTGATAAAGTCTGATAGTATAATAAGCCAGATCAAGAAAGACAGATATTGCATAGTATCTCTTATGTGGAATCTAAAAAAAAGAAAAAAGAAAAAGTCAAACTCATAGAAACAGAGTAGAATCAAAATTGCCAGGAGTTTGGTGCTGGAGGAAATAAGGAGAAATTGGTCAAAGAGTACAAGCCTTCTGTTATAAGATGAATACGTTCTGAGGGTCTAATATAAGCACGGTGACTGTAGTTAATATACTGCATCTTATATTTGAAATTTGCTAAGAGAATAGATCTAAGTGTTCTTAACTCACAAACATGTGCTCAGGCAACTGTGCGAGGTGCTGGATGGGCTAATTTGACTGTGATAATTATTTCACAATGTACATGTATATCAAATTATCATGTCATATGCTTTAAATATATACAATTTCATTTGTCAATTATCCTCCCCCCATAAAAGATAAATAAATAAAAAGCCTAGTTAAAAGTCAACCTATCAGTCTTATTCAGAATAAGAAATAGAATTATTTAATCAGCTCTTCCATAAACTTATATAGCACTGATGATTGGTCAAATTGGATATTTAAAAAATAATAATAGAAATCGCCTTAAAAATAGAAAACAACTGGGACATTTTTTATTATTTCATCTTCCTTTTAAACCATGTCAATAGATCTACCTTTTATTTTCAGTAATGCCTTCCTATACCATTGTATGTAATTTTTTTCCATTGTATGTATTTTTTTTGGGGGGGGGGCGGCGAATGTGTTTCACTGTGGGTTTCTTGAACAGACAGTCTTAAAAGAAACAAGTATGTGTGAGAAAAGTAATGTGATGAGCAAAACTAATATTAAAATATCCACTTAGGTAATAGTTTGGATAGCGAAAATTTTCTATAAGAATATATGTTTTTGCAAAAAAAAAAGAATCTGGTCCTTTTGCATTGCAGCCACAAACAAAGCACAACTTTATTGGATTATTATTTTTTAAATTTTCCATGTCTGAATCTATGCTAGGTTCTATACATATTATTTTTTACAAATTTTTCTGGCTTCTAGGATATCATAAACAAAAGTAATGTTACTATGGATTATGGAACAGGTTTAGGAATAAATATATAAACTTCAGCAAGCACACACAGAAATTAATTTCATATTGGTTTGATGATCTGTGGTTGGTTTCACCATGATATATTGATTTTATTACATATCATTGTGGTCATAGCATCATGTATTTTGGCATGTAATTTGTATCAAAAAGTTCTGTCTGTATCATTTTAAATAGCAATAGCTGTGTATTAATCACATAGCTTATATGGAATCATTGTAATTATAATACAGAACTGTCTCAACCAGCAGGATTCCTGTCTTTGGAACTGAGTTTTAAATGGATTGTATTGATGTCAATAGAAGAATCAAAACTAATAAAAGAACTAGTTGGCATTAATCACTGTCTTCTCTGCAGTCCTGTAGTGCTTTTTAAGTTCTTAATTTAAGAACTTCATTCATGCTTTGATTTAGTGCAATTTCTGTTCACGTTCATCACCTCTACCTGTGTTTCTTTCATATCCCACAGCTATTAATTGCTTATATAGTAAACAGTCATAACTCAAAAGAATAAATATTTTCTTTATTTTAGAGTGTGCTTTTTAAATTTCTTACAGAAATTTGGTACAACTGTACACAAGTGAAGATGACACAGAAATTTCAAAGAAGATTGAGACTCAGTGGACATCTTTGGGCCTAGAAGATATACAGTTTGTAAATTACTCTGTGCTGCTTAATCTGCCAGGCCCTTCTCCCAGCTCTGTGACTCTGAGCAGCAGCGGCCAATGCTTTCATCCTAATGGCCAGCCTTGCAGTGAAGAAGCCAGAAAACGTAACAGCCAAGATCTGCTCTACTCATACGCAGCCTATTCTGCCAAAGGAACTCTCGAGGTAATATGACCATTTGTCTCTGTCATTTACAGTGAAATGAAATTAGAAAACAACAGCTTTCATCTAAATTGAACTAACTGGCAAGATGCAGCACATGAAAGTAACCATTAAATGTTCTCAGTGTAGAGGTGCCAGAAAAGAGAAAGGAAGATTTGGATTGCCTGACCCTTTACTTGTCATATTTTGAAAGTGAAAACACGTTAGAAGAATTTAATTCAAAAGTGTTGAATGTGTGACTGAATCATTCACATTTTGCTTAGTTCATAGAGAACATGTTTATTTCATTCTTTGGTTTTGAAGAGGCAAATTTTAATAGATTGACATGGACAGAAAGAATATAGAGGTGATTGTGTTTTGAAACTGTACGAACACAAGAACTAGAGTGGGAAACTGATGTGATTATTTACAGATTTAAGACTTAAAATACATTGCTTCTGCTTTCTTAATACAGAACACCTGAGCTAGGGGACCAGGTATGAATTATTGCTTTACTGTTTTCTGGGTTAGCGGTGTTTTTGTTTTGTTTTATTTTGTTTTGGTGTTTGTATGTGTTTTTGTGTGTGATGTTTTTTCGGCATTGTGGTTAAGTGCGTGGTTTCCAGAATCACATAAACTAGTTTTTAATCTCAGCTCCCCAATTACCCACTGTTCCTTACACATTTAGAACTAAGTCTGCTCATCTCTGTAATATAGATATAAAATAGTTCCAACATCAAGAGGTTATTTTGAGAATTAAATTAACTAATATATGTAAACCTTAGAGGACAGAGCCTAGTCCATAGTAAGGACAATATACCAGTTAGATACAATATATAATTGGTTACTAATTTTCTTAAATAGCAAGTTTTTTGTCTCCATTTAAAGTATCAGTTTAATATACAGTTTCAGTCTTTTATAATACTATAGATAAGCGGTCCCCAATCTTTTTGGCACCAAGGACTTGTGTTACTATGAGAGTCTAATGCCCGATGATCTGAGGTGGAGTTGAGGCAGTGATGTTAGCGCTGAGGAACGGCTGCAAATACACATAAAACTTTGCTCCCTCACTGCCGCTCACCTCCGCTCATATTCTGCTATGCAGCCCAGTTTCTAACAGGCCATGGACTGGTACTCGGTCCATGGCCCAGAGGTTGGGAACCCCTGCTGTAGATTATCTCTTTAATACAAATGAAATAATGTTTGTTTTCTGATTATTGTTAATTATTGGCACAGATTTTTTAGATCTAACTTTTTATTAACTCTGATTAATCTATAAAATATTTAAATCATTTAAAGTTACTTTTCAGAAATACATGCTTATTCCTATATATACATATTTATTTTTTTGGCAGTGAGGTTGTGAGAGGCAATTTACTGATGGTTCAGCATTACTTGTGTTCTTTGTCATATTATTCTCTGACTTTTAGCAAAAGGACTACATATGAACATCACCACTTTGAAAAGCCAATCACTAATTAAAAGTTAATATAATACTAAATGTCTGTAGTATTTCTAGTATAGGACTCATATAATTTCACTAATATATACTACTTCTGGTAGGCAATAATGGAAACGCACCTGTGTATAAATAAAAATAGAGGGAGGCTACTAGCACTCTTTCTTTAGTTCAGAAGCTTTGATCTTAAGTCAAGGTTCTAAAGTTACCCCACATATTTTCTCTCAGACTCTCAACCCTGCATCAGCCACCCCATTTAGAACTAAGTCTGCTCATCTCTGTAATATAGATATAAAATAGTTCCAACATCAAGAGGTTATTTTGAGAATTAAATTAACTAATATATGTAAACCTTAGAGGACAGAGCCTAGTCCATAGTAAGGACAATATACCAGTTAGATACAATATATAATTGGTTACTAATTTTCTTAAATAGCAAGTTTTTTGTCTCCACTTAAAGTATCAGTTTAATATACAGTTTCAGTCTTTTATAATACTATAGATAAGCGGTCCCCAATCTTTTTGGCACCAAGGACTTGTGTTACTATGAGAGTCTAATGCCCGATGATCTGAGGTGGAGTTGAGGCAGTGATGTTAGCGCTGAGGAACGACTGCAAATACACATAAAACTTTGCTCCCTCACTGCCGCTCACCTCCGCTCATATTCTGCTATGCAGCCCAGTTTCTAACAGGCCATGGACTGGTACTCGGTCCATGGCCCAGAGGTTGGGAACCCCTGCTGTAGATTATCTCTTTAATACAAATGAAATAATGTTTGTTTTCTGACTATTGTTAATTATTGGCACAGATTTTTTAGATCTAACTTTTTATTAACTCTGATTAATCTATAAAATATTTAAATCATTTAAAGTTACTTTTCAGAAATACATGCTTATTCCTATATATACATATTTATTTTTTTGGCAGTGAGGTTGTGAGAGGCAATTTACTGATGGTTCAGCATTACTTGTGTTCTTTGTCATATTATTCTCTGACTTTTAGCAAAAGGACTACATATGAACATCACCACTTTGAAAAGCCAATCACTAATTAAAAGTTAATATAATACTAAATGTCTGTAGTATTTCTAGTATAGGACTCATATAATTTCACTAATATATACTACTTCTGGTAGGCAATAATGGAAACGCACCTGTGTATAAATAAAAATAGAGGGAGGCTACTAGCACTCTTTCTTTAGTTCAGAAGCTTTGATCTTAAGTCAAGGTTCTAAAGTTACCCCACATATTTTCTCTCAGACTCTCAACCCTGCATAAGCCACCCACGTATCCAGTGTTCTTTTATCCCAGTTGACCGAAGTCCAGCACAGCCATCTCCTCTCTTAAACAAAAGCATGTCTGAAACACAAAGCAACAACAAAAACCCCAAGAATTTGACTGGGTCCTTGGAACCATCCCCATTTATTTGCTTTTCAATTTTGCGTGGTGAACATTCATTATTTCTTGACTGACATGATATAGAAAAGCCGCAACACTACTGCCTGTATCCCTGTTTCATCAGTGCAACCCTCTTGAATAATCCACTGGGCCCACTGGATTTTTTTTTTAACATTCATATGTGACCATTCCTCTGAGAGTTTTCTACACATTTATCTTTTAGTTATAAATGTTTAAATTTTCTTTGTTTCAAATAAAAGAGAACCAAGGTCATTAAAGAATCACGGAATTACCTTAATGTTCACGAAGTCATAAGTCATTTGCGACCCTTGTACCATTTATAAATACTATAAAAACTATCGCTTTAAACAAATAAGTATAGAAAAAGAGTTAAAATGTAGCTATTAGATGGGAGAAATAAAGTTAGCTGTAGATGTAGAAACATACTCCATGTTTGAAATATTCGTCCTAACTATAAGCGGTAGTGTTAAAGAAACTAAAGAGCGATTATGGATAAAACAAACTCCTCTATCTGAAGAACATAATTTGAGAAATTAACCAAGCAAGTTAGATGAAGACACTGACTATAACTATTTTGGAATTATATTAATAATTCAAAGCTATTACAGCAATTACATGTTAATTGAAATATTCAATAAAGGATATAATGTTATTGATATTGATTTTTTAAACTATAGTAATTTATTATGATTTTCAAAAGCAAAGCAACTTATAGGTGACTATATTATATGCATATAGAATGCTTACATGTATTTTATATACATGTTTTAGACAGATGTATTATCGAAACTCACATATATTAATTAATAGGCTACTAGTGATTTTCAGTATCCCTTTAGATTATTCCCTAATTCAAATCAAGCTTGAGAGGTTGCGGCTGCTGATTCAGGCATACCTAATTTTTTGATTTTGAGTACATTATGTTCTCATGAATTTCCATCAGGCAGAGCCATTAACAAGTTCTTATATTATGCTAATCTGACTGCCAGCACAATGCCCCATGACTTTTGCTTTTGACAAGGTTATTTGTGGAAGAGGAGTGCCCCTTTTCTTTGAAGAGCTGTCATGTCCATTCATCATATGACCGTTTTGTATAAGCTTCCAATTTTTGCTTTCTGGTAACAGTCTAAATAGAATTTGTGATATCTGAGATCTACTTCGAAAACCTACTTAGTGCCAGCATGATGGATGGTGTACTTTGCAACTTCTTTGTAATTCATTGTGCACTGGAAAGGTGACATTGTTTACCCTATCATAATGACAGGTGGGTCAGTAAGTGTCCTAAGGAGAGTTGTCCTGTCAGATGCAAAATACATATTAAAATGGATACATAAATAATTTAGCACGAGTGAAGTTAGCTTCAGGGAATAACCAGTAATTTATATTTTTATTAAAAGGTAAATATCAACTATAATGTCATCATAATGTTAAAGACACTGGTAGTGAGTATCGACAATGTCTAGTCAGTTTTATAAATAGAACATATGGCTTTATGTAATTCCTGTGCAATTATTTCTTTTGTTCTTTGTGAAACCCACATAGATGCAGAAAAGCAAAGGGAACAATTAATATTTAATGTAGGTTGGTCAGATTGAGTCAGCAATGTCCTTATTTTTGAACAGTGGATTTGTTTTTATTCCAATACATTTTATGGATTTTGGTATTTTCTTTATGTTAAGCATTGTTTTGTGTTTTCAAGACAAGCCAAATAATACAATTTTATAGAGAAATTTATTTTCACTAACTCATTAATATTGTTATCAATATTTTACCCACAGTTAATGAGTTAGTTATCATTACTCCATTACTCAGAGAGCCCAGACTAGCACCCTTCCTTATCAACTGCATGACTGTGGTTTGATTACTTCAATTCTGTAAGCCTCAATGTTCTTATTTATATTAGGGGAATAATAACAGCACCTCCAATGGTCATTGTGGGGAAGAAATGATATAAATCATGTAAAGTGCCTGGCACTTAGAAAGCACTCAGTAAATGTTAGCTATTGTTATTATTAAGATTTGGTATAAAATAGACACATTTGAATGGGAGAAATTAAGAAAATATCAGATGTTGTATGTTGTAAGTTTTAGAACTATAATCTTTTACCCTATTGTCTAAATATAATCTTCCTGTCCTGCTTAACATG